CCCCGGCGGGCGGCGGTTATATTGATTTTTGGCTGTTCTTAGATGGAAAGAATTTTCTAGCAGAAACAGACCAGTTGTCCATTCAGTTCTAGCTCACAACAACTCTGTATGTTACAGGGTCAAAGTGTTGCTTTATATGACTTTCACTGGTTTGACATTTTGAAAGTAGCTCACCAAGCCTTTTCCTGGGATTCCTATAGGTGGGTTTGAACCACCAACCTTTCAGTTTGTAAAGTGCTTAACCATTTGTGCCACCTATCTACCATTGTAAGAACTTAGAGACTTATCAAACTTTTAACAAATAAGATAATTTTAAAAAGAAAACATTTAAAATCCCTTTTATGGGACAATGCATTTCTAGAGTTTTTAATTTTTCTTTAGTTAAAATAGTCTTTGTATTCCACAGATCTTTAATGTAGGACCAATAAACTATAATTTCTCTAATCTTCAATATCTTGACCAGAACACAAATTATGAGCAAAAGAGGCTTGATTGATCTTTTTTGCACTATTTCTGTGATGTTCTTTAACTAGCACAAGAGAAACTTTCAAAGGAGTTGTATTTCTTTTCTTGATCCTTTTTAAAGTTTGTATTATGTTAGAAGATCATCTTAGGGAAACTGGTATAGCCTTAGTACTTATATGTTTTCTTTCGTTTCTCTTAAAGTCAGTAATTTTATGATCTAGTAATCACTTTTTCTCTTTTTTTTTCAAGGTTGCTCTAGAGGACTATTTAAAGAAAATTCAGCAAGTGGATTTTGATATATTCCACCCAATTTTACAGCGAAAGAATACATTACTTCCGTTGTCTTTGTATATTCAATCATGGAGAAAAAGATATTAAAGTAACTTCTAGACACTGGTGTTAAATCATTATAATAGTTTTACAAGTGAAATAGTGAGAGATCTTTCATACATACAAAAGGAACTGACTATATGTAGTTGAAAAGGAGTTTATTGGATGGGAGACTCACAGAATTGACAAGATGTTGCTGTGAAAGTAGGGTGCCAGCATTGTCCCAGCAGCACTACTGTCCCAGCCCGATGAAGTCAGGGTCCCTGGAAGCAGTATTGTTTCCTCTGTGCTTGTTGTGCTGCAGCTGCAAAAGGACCTGGAGAGAGAATGTCTCCTTGAGAAACCCCCACGGGGGTAAAGGAGACAAGCGCTCACAGAGCATAGGAATGAGCATGCTCAGCAACCAAACCTCAAGTGTCCTATACAGCAGGCAACAAATGCAGTTAGGGGTCATTAAAGTGGAATTTACATTTGAGGAGGGCACATCATTGTGCTGAGGTCTTTCTTTACCCTTTAACATTTATCCCTTGAACGTAAGCCAGCTGGCTGCTGTGAGCTGGATCCTTAATATGAGTTTTGGTCTAGCTGGTTTGAAAGCATTTACTCTTTGTTAAATCTAATGCTTCTCCACCTGTCATTCAACATTATGATGATCATGAAGCAAATAGAAAAAAATAATAAAATTATATTCCACATTCATTGAAAGAATGCTGCATTTTAAAAACATATGTTGGACTCATCAGTGATTAGCAATATGCTATGTGCTTTCATCTTATTGTTTATGTCCCATTAAGCCAGAACACGCTCATAGTTGACCTTCTGGAGGGTTTTCAGAAGCTATAAATTGCACCAGAGGAGATTGTCCCTCTTTCTTTCATGGATCAGCTGGTGAATTCCAACCTTCTGTCTTTGGGTTGGCAGCACAATTCCTTATAACTAAGCCACCAGATCTATCCCACCTGAATTTTAAAAAATCATCTCAAGATAAGCTTGAGGCATTGGACACCAGTGATGGGATGTCAACAAAGATAGCATCCTTGAAGAGAGCAAAACATCATTACAAAGAGGAGAAAGAAAATGAGTGTCAGAAGAGACTGAAAATTGTACTAGGGCATTGAGTAGCCAAAACAAACGGAAGAAATGATGAAGTAAAAGAGCTAAACAGGGATGGGCTGTTTGTCCTGAAAACACAGGGTAGTGATGGACAAGACCCAATAGTGATTAATTTTATATAACAATGCATGGACGTGCTTGTATGAAACACAATGTATACAAACTTTGTAAGCAAACCAGTATAAAATTTTTTAAAAGGTTGAACAGAAGATTTCAAAGGGCATGTTTGAAGAAGACACATTTTCCAAAAAGCCAGAGTTGGAGAATAAAAAGGGAAGAATTTTCTTGACATTTCTGAAATTGAAAGAACTGAAAAATTCAAGCCTCAAGTTGCAATACTGATAGATGCTATTGGCAAAATCTTGAATGATCCAGGATGCACCAAAAGAAGATGACAAATACATGGAGTCACCATACCGCAAAGAAATGAGTGACACTGAAATATTTCAGGAAGTTGCATATGATAAAGAGTCAGTGGTAATGAAAGAAGAAGTTCAAACTTTGGTAAAAAAGAGCCCAGGCATAGATGTTTGTTGTTGTTGTTATGTGCCATCGAGTCGTCTGCGATTCATAGCGACCCTATGCACAACAGCCCTAAACCCTGCTCTATCCTGTGCCAACCGCACTGCCTCCGACACACCCATCCTGATTACCCCAGTCACCGAATCAATCCATCTCATAGAGGGTCTTCCCCTCCTGCGCCGTCCCTTCACCCTCCCAAGCATGATGTCCCTCTCCAAGGACCCGTCCCTCCTGGCAACATGTCCAAAGTATGTCAGACGAAGCCCCAGAATCCTTGCCTCCAAGGAGTTGCTTGGTTTAATCCTCTCCAGGATGAATCAGATGGACTATGAATTAACATGTTTCAACAAACAGATGCAGCCCTGAAAGTGTTCACTAGTTTGTGCCAGGAAATTTTGAAGACAGCTGCCAGGCCAACCTACTGGAAGAGATTAAATTTAGTTCTCATTCTCAAGAATGGTAACCAACAGAATGTGGAAATTACCAAATAATAGTAACATCACATGCAAACAAAATATTACTCATGGTCATCCAAAACTGGTAGCAACAGTTAATTCATTGACAGAGAATTGCCAGAAGTTCGAGCTGGATTTAAAGGAGCCCATTGCACCAGGAATATCATTGCCAATGTTAGATGGATCCTGGCTGAAAGCAAAGAATATCAGAAGAATGTCTATTTGTGTTTTATTGCCTCTACAAAGGCAGTTGACTTCGTGGAATATAACAAACTATGACTAACCTCAAGAAGAATGGGGATTCCAGGACACTTAATTTTCCTCATACACTTTCTAGACCAAGAAGAGCAAAGAGAACACTGCATAGTTTAAAATAAAGGTGTGTGGCAGGGCTTCAGGATCAGAAGACAGAGCATCAACAACCTGCATTATACAGATGATACCACCCTCCTTGCAGGAAGTTAGAACTTGAAACACTTGCTTCAGAAGATCAAAGACTATAATATGGAACATTTTAATATCAGTATTGGCCACTGGTCCGATAGGCAACATCACAACAGATGGAGAAAAGATTGAAATTGTCAATGGTTTATTTGGATCCATAATCATCATTTGTACCAGCATTCAGGAAATTAGAAGGCATTGCACTGGGAAAGTCTACTACTACCTCTCCAAAATACTGACTGAATAGCAATGATGTCAGTTTAAAGACTGCAGTGTGCTTGATTCAGGTCTAGTCACTTGCTATGCATCTGAGAGCTGAATGATGGGTAAAGAAGACAGAAGAGTCATGGTGTTGGAGAAAAGTGATTATCCCATGGACTGCCTAAAGAACAGATACTTCTTAGAGAAAGTGCAGCCAGAGGTTCCTGAAAGGCAAGGGTGGCAAAGCTCATCTCTCATATTTTGGAAATTTTAGGAGGGACTGTTCCTTGGAGAGGAACATCATACTTGGAAAATTGAAGGGTCGGTGAAATAGAGGAAGACTTTCAATGAGTTGAATTGATAGAATTACTGTAGCAGTGTGCTCAAGTGTGTCAGGTGAGGTTAGCACAGGATAAGACAGGGTTCAGACCCCATTTTTCATAGGACCGTTCTTGATTTCACCTAATGTGCTTTCATGAGTGTTCTCATTTCATTGTCTTAAAAACCCTATGAAATTAAGAGCTTTAATTAAAATTTGTATTAAAAAATAAAATCAGTGTGAAACCCACATGGTGGGTAATTGGAGCATCTGGAATCTGAATTTCTAACCCTCAATGATTATGCTAGCATTTCTTCTTTTCAGTGGTCCTGTCTTGTATCCCACTAACACTTTCGATGTACTTGTCTTTTTGTCTAGGTCTTTGGTCTCAGAGGCTATATGCTCTTTAAGGCTTTGTGTCTCCTTAAACTGAGGTTGGTGATGTCTTGAAATAACGCATCTTTGTAAATAAAATTCCAACTGAGCAGCTTGAGGGCTGCTTGTCATAGTCTTATATGACATTCATCTCGGTATACCTCCCTATAAATCACATCAGATTTAGAGCAAGTAACAAATATGTAATCAACGTTTACCTGGATATGCAGTGAGATTGTGTATGTACATTCTATTAGTACTGATGTAGAAAGAGTAACTTCTCGTTTAATTCTTTGGCTTTAAGAAGCCAATTATAGTTGTCGGTCTGGCTGGCAGCTGTCGAAATGGGCAAGTTCATGAAACCAGGGAAGGTGGTGCTGGTCCTGGCCGGACGTTACTCTGGACACAAAGCTGTCATCGTCAAGAACATTGATGATGGCACCTCCGACCGCCCCTACAGCCACGCTCTGGTAGTTGGAATTGACCGCTATCCCCGAAAAGTGTCAGCTACCATGGGCAAGAAAAAAAATTGCCAGGAGGTCAAAGATCAAGTCCTTTGTGAAAGTTTATAACTACAATCACCTCATGCCCACAAGGTACTCTGTGGATATCCCCTTGGACAAAACCGTTGTTAACAAGGATGTCTTCAGAGACCCTGCTCTTAAATGCAAGGCAAGGCGGGAAGCCAAGATCAAGTTGGAGGAGAGGTACAAGACAGGCAAAAACAAGTGGTTCTTCCAGAAGCTGAGATTTTAAATCTTCCATTTCAGTCATTAAAAATACCCCCCAAAATCCTAGTGTCTGACTGCTGCATGTGTTATTAGTCTAAATCATTTGTGGGGTTCATGGCATTGGGTGATGGAAAATATAAAATAAAGTTAAAACTATTGTTGTGAGACTTGAAAAAAAAAGCCAATTATAGCATATCTTGAAGTGCAAGTAAAGAAAATGGAACACATTTCCTTTGGGATTCTGAATGATCCATAGTTGAAGAGTTTATGAGAGAGAGGTGTTTCTCCCTGAGCATTGTCAGCATATCTTCCAGGTTAAATACAGAAGCAAGTGGTAAGTTCAGGTGTAGAGTCTCCAAAAAAAGGGAGGAGTCAGGGGGCAGTTTAAATTCAGAACTAGATTATTCAGAAGCCAATTTACTATTAAGTAAATAATTTTTGAAACATTTCCTAGCTCATTTTAAATTTGATTCTTAGAGATTGATTGAATTCAAAGTATCAACCATGAGGTCTTTTCAATGACAGTTGCTTCAGTTTTTAATTTCCTGGCATAAAAGATACCACCTTTGGGGATGTCAACATCCTTTCTCAATTTCTAAGTATCTCATTTGTAGGGTTTTTAAAAATTAAATTTTGAGAAAGATTTCTTCTTTAAACCATTCAAGATGTGTTTTTAAGTGAGACGAGAGCAGTGGATAACAAGTTGCAGATTAATCTTAATGTAATTAAAGTTACATGTGTTACAAATGTCATTAGAAAATCAGTTTGGGGTAGGTTCCAAATAACAGTACATATTAAGTCATTGTTGGGAATTAGGTGGTGGTGGTTAGGTACCATTAAGTCATACTTCTCATAGTGGCCCTACGAATAACAGATCTGAACTTTGGA